CCATCCATCCATCCATCCATCCATCCATCAATCAATCCATCCCGTTTTTCAGCCATCATATATATTTCACTTCAACTGTCTCTAGGTTATCGCGGCATCAAATCTGACTTCACTTACTCCTGGAGACCAGTCAACAATACCAACTTCGCGGTGTGCGTCGTGGTTGCTAATGACGAACTCGATACTAAGGTAGCAACATATGTAACGTACGTACAGCAAAAACGAAAAAGAAAAAAATAGAAAAAAACTCGCGTACCGCGTACAGTTGTAAAGCACATGTTGACAAAACAAATATATTATTATTGTATATTTATTATTATTTTTCGTAGGCCATGGATATTCCTAACGCCAACCCTCAGCCAGATCTGTACCACCGTTACGACATTGTGAAACATCTTAAAGTTGGTTCAATCATTGAAGACAAACCCATCGCTTTCTTGAACAATATTACCTTCCCTGCGACTTTATCCCGATCAAAGTAAGTATACTTGCCTTGCCTTGCCTTGCCTTGCCTTGCCTTGCCTTGCCTTGCCTTGCCTTGCCTTTCCCATTTTTCCTTTCATTTTTCAACCCATTCATTCCCATCATTTCCTTTCCACTTCATGCTTTTTCATATTTACCTCACCATTATTTATCCTTTTCCCTAGCTACTTTTTAAGTTCTAGTTGTTTCAACGACCCCTACAGATTCGAAAATACTCCGGTAGGTAAACACGCCCAATTCTGCCAAAATTTTAACTGATTGCTTAGTTGTTATAATTTATTCGGTAAAGAATAAGGTCAAAAAGATTATCATCTCACGGGACCCACTTTAGGGGGGGTGGGGGTGGGGATACCTGGTATCCTTCACCTAAAGGGAGCACGCCAGACTGGGTCTTGTTTACGAGAGTCCGGCTCTCATTCGTCTCTCGACGCCATCTTGGATGTTTCTCAGTGTATCGATGTTTCCGGTTTTTCTCAGTGTATCGAGGGCGCGGATCACGAGCGCGACGTTTTTCCTTATCCGCGCCTTCGATACACTAATGGGAAAAACTGTGTAATCATTCAAGATGGCGTCGCGTAAACAAGACCCCGTCTGGCGTGCTCTCTTGATCACCTCTGAAAGTGAAATTCTTAATTTTGTCCTCAAACATCTTTGTCAGTCAAATCACAGAATTTGAATGTACTGTCTGTTTGCATGTATCGTATTCTAAACAACGTATCTGTGTATAGGAATAATGACTACAAATACCCAGCATCGAACATTCCAACGGGTCTCTAGAGGGGGTAGGGGGAACGGGGTATTTACCAGTATCCACTACAACCCTTGTTTTGAATTTGTTCCTTTATGATGAAAAAAAACCCACATTTTTTAGGAAACACTTGAATTCGTCAAGGAGCTGTCTGACTTCGTGGACGGTAAGCGAAGTGTTCCACCAATGCAGGCGCTAAAGAAAGAAGTGTTGGCGGATATACGACTAACGCGAGAAATCGAACAATGGTAAGTTGGGATTCCTGTGGTAAAATATAAAAAGACTGGGCTACCTGTGGATTATAGTACTTTGTTTGCAAACGTAGAACGTGGTGCATTCTGGTCTACCTTGAGTACAAATATCGTGATTTATGGTGTTCTTTGTACCCAGGCTTGACCACAATGCATCATGTTTATTGAACTTGGCAAAGCGTTTTTCACACTTTGAATAGTGCGCGCAGATGGCGTCAGAACCATAGTCTGTTAAACTAATACAATCCTTTGACTAAACAACGTTTAGTCAAAGGACTGTACAACACAGCTCTCGATCGATCAGAGCGTGCGTTCTATGTAGGTAATTTAAAAAAACGAGGTACAAACACCCGCAGACTCTTCAGTTTTGTGTCTTGGTGCTCTATATTTCAGCTTTGTTTCTATTTATATTTCTTTATTTTCTCTATTTTGTTTCAGTTGGAATCGTAACCCGATGCGAGTGCTAGGCGCAGATGCCGCATGGCGTTACATCGCTACCAACTCTGGTGCCATGAGACAGTATCCAGGAAGACAGACGTACAATAACAGGTAAGGACGTCACGCAATCTACATGTCACGCGATGTACACGTCACGCGATAATAGGGAACGCGTGATTAATTTTTTATACTAAAAATTCTTTAATTTGATTATTTTTTATTTTGCTGTCAAGATACGACCCTACCACCCGACCCTGGTACCACGCTGCCAAGTCGTACCCAGGCAAGCTCACCTTCTCTGTGCCATATTTGGACAATGGTGGCGCAGGCGTTGTCGTGACAACCAGCCAAACGATAAGCAGCGTCTCTATGGTGAGTCTTTGATTGGTTCATTTTATCTGGGCCGTTTAATAGCTGACGTAATATATCAAACACGTGAAAGAGGGTTTCATCCGATCGTTTCCAAACGCCGAAAAGTGAGTTGAAGAACGAGTTTTTTTTAACCAGCTTCAAGGTGATTGGATAAAGGATGAAACACTCTTTCAAGTGCTTGATATGGCTTCTCAAACTATTAATAATTCTTGGAGAAATTTAAAGCATAAGTTGCCCAAATTCTTTGCTAATTAAGATCTCATTTCCAAACCTCCTTTACGCCAGTGACTTTTTTTGTTTTATCCTCATTAAGTATATATGAATAAGTTTTAGAAGTAAAAGTGGCATATAGACCCTTGCATTGATGTCCTAGAGGAATTGTTCTGGGGGATAAAACAATAGGTCGTCTTTCCTTATGGAAAAAAAAACCATTGTTTTGTCCCCCAGAACAATATTCCTCTCGGGAATCAGTGTAAGGGGTCTATATCCAAGTTTCATTAGGAATTTTGAGATTCAAGATTGCAAAGGCAAATTAATCAAGGATGGGTAGAAGTAGTGCATTCGTGTTTCTCGTCTACGTTCTAGGGTTCTAGAGATATGACTCAACGATTTCTAAGAATGGGGCTCCTGTGCAATCCAGCTAGAGTGATCCTGGAAACGTATGTAATCCTTTTTGTGGCCTGGGTTTCCTGTGGAGTCAGTAAAATATGGCATTTGGTCGGGAAAAAATCAGGAAATTTTATTTCACCAGGAGATTTTCATTTTTCTTGTTTCAGGTACGAGCTGTCATGGGGATAGACTGGAAGATGAAAAAGATTAATGAAATTGTAACCGGAAGTGRAGCCATATGTCAACATTCTTCCGGTAAGAAAATACTTCCGGTTTGATTCAAATTGGTTTGACTCTCGAGCTTTTGTCAAACATCAAAATGAAGATGGTGCATTGTGGTCTAGCCTGGGTGTTTTCTATTAATCTATTTTTTCATTTTCAGTCGCCTGCATATTGATTGACCCAAATGGTTATGTAGTTTACTCCAAGCAGTTTATTTTCAA